TTGTTCATGAGTAGCAATAGTTTCACTTGTTCTTTTATAGTCCTTATGCCTTTTATTTCTTTTTCTTACATTAGCTAGAACCTGTAGTACAGTGTCGAAAGGAAGTGGTAATAGGGTCATTTTTGGCATTTTCCAGCCTCAAAGGGAAAGCCTTCAACCTTTTACCACTAAATATGATGTTTGCTATAGAACTTTTATAGATGCTTTAAGAAATTTAATATGTTCCTCTCTATTCCTGGTTTTCTAAGAGTTGTTCTTGTGATTCAATGTTGAATTTTGTGAAATGCCTTTATTGCATATATTGAGTTGTTCATGAGACTTTTATTTTATTGATGTGGAATATTACACCGAGTGATTTTCTAATGTTAAACCATCATTATACACTGCAATAAATCCAACATAGTCATGTGGTAATATCCTTCTTACATCTTGCTTGACTCAGTTTATAATATGTTGTTTAGGATTTTTACACCTGTGTTTATGAGTAAAATTGTCCTATAATGGTTCTTTCATTTAATATCCTTGTTATGTATTAATATCACGGTTATGCTGGCCTCTAAAAATGAGCTGGGGAATATTCCTTTTTTTTCTTTCTTGGAAGAACGTGTGTGTCGTTTCTTTTTGTTTGCTAGTGAAATCATCTACACCTAGATTTTTTCTAGAAAGTTTGTATATTTGTGGATTCAATTTATAAGATTATTCACTTTTATTTCTTCTTAGACAGTATTAATTACTTGGATTTTTGTAGAAATTTCTCCTCTTTGTATAAAATTTCAGATTTATCGAAGTAAAGTTGTACATAGTAGCCTTTATCCTTTTTATGTCTACAAGGTTTGTAGTGATATCTCTGTTTCATTCCTGCCTTTTGTTATTTGTGATCTCTTTTTATGTTCATCAGTCTTGCCAGCGTTATAATTTTTTTATTAGTCTTTTCAAAGAGCTACATTTTAGCTCTGGTCCTCTGTTTTCTAATATTTTTTACTTGTGTCTTTTTCCCTCCTTAGACTTTTTTATTCTTTATTTACGTTTCTGAAAAAAAAATGCTTACATCTTTAATTTTTAATCCTCTTTTCTGCTGTATGCATATAAGGCTACAACTTTAAGGTAGGCAGAGTTAAACTGTGACCTTCATATTGTTGTTTATTAGTTCAAAATATTTTCTAATTTCCATTGTGATTTCTTCTTTAGTCATGTGTGTGTTAGAAGTATATTTCTTAGTTTTTGTATATAGAGATTTTTAGTTTTCTCTTTGTAATTGCACTATTGGAAAACTTATTTTAAATACCTTTAAAGGTCAGATAAATTATTTTAACCCTAAGAAATGTATTGTCTTTGCTGTATGTGCTCTAAAATAATGAGTGTACTGTAGTTGTGTGATACTGAATTCCGTATATGCCCTTATTAGATCACTTAGGTTTAAGTTGTTCAGTTCTACAGCTTTACTGATTTGTGTGTACATGCTTGTTTCCTCTGTGCCAATTATAGCTTTGTCTATTTCTTTGAGTATTCTGTCAGTATTTTACTTTAAACCTTTAAAGCTGTTGCTTAGGTACTTACAAGTTTGGAAATGTTATATCTTCTTAATAATTTGAACTTTTATCATTGTGAAATATCGCTGTTCATCACAGGTAACATTTCTTATCTTAAAGTTTACTTTATCTAGAATTAATATAGACACCAGTTTTCTTTTGATTAGATATGGTATGTCTTTTATTCATCCTTTTACTCTCAGCCTTTCTGAATTCTTATGTTTTGTATGCGTCTCTTGTAAACTTCATGTGGTTGGATTTTATTTTTTAATACAGTCTGATAATCTTTAGATTTTAATGAGAGCATTTAATTTATTTACATTTAATGTAATCACTGATATCTTTGGATTTAAATCTATTTTTATTATGTGCTTTTTTTTAATTTATTTTTTTATTGGGAAATCCGGGAAGGGGAACAGACAAGTTGCTGTTCTTTTGTTCTTCAGTCTAGTTGTGGAGGGCGTCACTTCACTGGACCATGTTGGTATTATCATTGCGCTCTTCCAGGGTGAGGCAGTTGCTCGTCGGCCATTGGACGGCGGGCTCAGGACAGCTCACGAAAGCACACACCAGCTGCCGGCTGCTCACGGTAGCTTACAGCTCACTGCAGCCCCACTGCAGCTTACGCTGTCGCCGGCGACTCACCACAGCTCAGCTCCAGGTTGAACTGTTGTTCATCATCTTAGCTGTAGAGGGCGCAGCATCAGTGGACTTCATGCGGCATCTGAACAGGGTGAGGGTGGGGGGCCCAGGGGGCCTGCTGCTGCTCATAGCTGGCATCCCAAGCCAACTCTTAACCAGTGCACCACTCGGCCGGCCCATTATGTGCTTTTTTTTTTTAAAACCTTATGTGTGTTTTATTTCTTGTCTTATTTGTTCTTTTTTTGCCTTTTTCTTTTGACTATTTTTTATTCAGTTTTTTTCTTTTGTCAGTTTAGAAGTTTTTACACTGTTTTACTCTTCTTTTTGTAGTTAACCTAAAGATTACAGCAAAAGTCTATTACCTATCAGTCTGTTAGTTGGTACTTTTATCTTTTTCTTAGATAATGCAAGGACTTTAATATGCTTTAGCTATTATATAATATAGTTGGTATTGTTGTATTTCTAATTATCTGTATATTTTTTAATCCAACATATTATTCTTACGTTTTATACAGTCAGTATTCATTTAGACTGACCTATTCACTGTTTCATTGCTGTTCACTTCTCCCCCCTGACTTTTCTTCTTGGGGCATTTTCTATCTGCCCTTTAGTGTTTCCTTTAGTGCAGGTCTGCTGGTGACGAGTTCTCTTCTCTAGTCTGTCTGAAAATGTCTGTATTTCAGCTTCATTCTTGAAGGTTGTTTTTTCTATGTATACAATTCTAGGTTGGCAGTTACTTTTTTCTTTCATGACTTTGAAAATACCATCTATTGTTTTCTGCCTTCCATCATTTCTATTGAAAAATAAGCTTTGTATCGTTATTCTTTGTTGTAGGTCCATTTTTTTTGTCCTGACTGCTTTTAAGATTTTTCTCTTGCCTTGATTTTTAGCAGTTTTGTCTGGGTATATGGACTTCTATTTATTTACCTTTTCAGAGGTTAAAGGCTTTCTTCAGTCAGTAGGTTGATATATTTAATTGGTTTGAAAAATGCTTTGCCCTTGTCAATATTTCTTCTACAGGATCTCTCTCCTCTCCTGGCGTTCTTTTTACATATAGTAGATCCTTTTATTGTGTCCTGTCTTTTACCTTCTTTTCTGAATTTTTCTAGAAAATATTTTGTTCTTTTTTCCCTGCTTGATTGTTTATATTTTCTTCTGATCTAACTTCTGGTCCATTAATTCAGCTATGTCTTTCGATCTTTTTCAGCATGGTTATTTTAAGTCTGTCTTATAGCCACAATGTCTGGAGTCATTGATAGTTTCTGTTTTCTGTTGTTTTTATTGGTTTTCATTTACATTGTCTTGTTTCCTTTTGTGCTTGGTTACCTTTGATTATGTCTGACGTAGTATTTGAAAAATTTATAAAAATATTTTGAGGTGCCCGCTTTGGCAGCACATATACTGAAATTGGAATGATGCAGAGAAGATTAGCATGGCCCCTGCGCAAGGATGACACACAAATTCGTGAAGCATTCCACATATAGAGAGAGGCTTCGTTCCTCCAAAGAATGCTTTCATTTTGTCTGCCAGGTGCTAGGACACTAGCAGCCTGAGGTTACTTTAATTCAATTTTAGGGATTATAATTTTTTGGACCATTCAAATGACTTGCAGCTAGGCTGCAGTGTCTGCAAGAACTATTACAATTCCATTTTTTCTTTATGTCTAGGATATAAACCTTGGGGATCCTAGCACTAGGCATGGAGGTTTTATCAGGCAGCAGCCCACACCCTTGTGTGGGTCTGGACTCCAGCTTTTATTCTGTGTCCCAGGGGTTGGCAAACTCATTCTGTAAAGGACCAGAGAGGAAATATTTTAGGCTTTGTAAACCATATAGTCTTCGTTGCAACAATCAGTGCTGCCATTGTCCCGCAAAAGACAATGTGTTAATTAATGAGCATGAATGTGTTCCAGTAAAACTTTATAAAACCAGGCATTTGGCCCATGGGCCTTGGTTTGCTGATCCTGCTGTAGTCTGACAGAAGCTCTGCTCAGACTCTCAGTCACCTCTTCTTAAATTTGGATTAGCCCTAAATGCCGGCCTAGCCTCTTCTTGGCCCACTGTATCAGCTCCCTCGTGCCTTTAAGACTATGTTGAGTTTTTTATGTTTGGTCCAGTTGTTCTGGTTTAATCTGCAATACCTAGACAGTCATTATCAGAAGCTAAAGTTATATACATGGTAACCAATTTAAAAGCAATAAGATTTTTCTTCTCTCTGATCAAGAAAAAAGTTCCTTGAGTTGTTCTCAGGGAATATCTCTCACTAGTACCCTGTGACATATAAATGACTTTTTAAAAAATGAAACTCAGTTTCAGGATATGTTTCTGTTGTTTTCCTAGACAGGTTGTGTGTTCTGGGGTTAAAGGTGAAGAGCAGTGCTGTCCACCTGAACACTGTCCTGGTGGGAATATTCTGGACCTGCTCCCTTTCAGGGTGTAGCCACGAGCCACCTGTGGCCAGTGCGAATGCAGAACTAAATTTGTACTGATTTAATTTTAATTAATTTATATCTAAATAGCCTTGTGTGGATATTTAGTTTGAAGTGGATGCAGCTTAGATTAAAAGAACAGACTTGTCTTAGTACCCAGTGTGTTCTGACACTCAGTCCCACCCACAGAAGCATCCATTTTCCAGGGCTCTTGCAAGACATTCACAACCTAAATGTGTTCGATGAATGGTATCTCACTAAATATCTTAGGCCTTGGAGAATGTTTCCATTGATTTTTACCATTCACCTAATGAGATGGAAGTACACTTGTTATCCTAAGCGGGCCACGTAAAACTGATGTCGTCCTCTGTTTACTTTCTAACATGGATTTGTCTTTGCAGGGAAAGGGGCGTCCTCGTCGTGGAAACTATCCAGGCCCATCCTCCCCTGTTGTAGTTCAGTTGCCTTCTGTGTCTGATGTCCCAGAAGAGACGCTAACTGGTGAGGCGGCCATGGAGACTGACATCACAGAGCAACAGCAGGCAGCTATGCAGCAGGAGGAAAGGGTGCTGACGGAGCAGATCGAGAGCCTGCAGAAGGAGAAGTGAGCGTCCATTATCATTTGTGTTCATTTCCTTCCCTCTGTCCTTTCTTTACCTTATTTAGTAAACAGCTCCTATGTGGCAAGCCCTGTGTCAGGCAACATAGGGAACATGGAGACTACAAAAACATGTTGCCTGCACTCAGGTAACAGTGTGCAAGTTGTCACCTCACGGAGCGAAGCTCCATGAGCAGTGAGACCTAAAGCTGCTACAGTGACGATTCTAGACAGGCTGACTGTGTGTCGGTCTTAGCCAAGATTCCTAACGGTCAGAGACCACCTCTGTAAACAGATTTGTCTTAAAAAGGAAGAAGAAGGATTCTCAGGCTAAGACAAAGTCCCTCCCAGAATGGCATTACTCAGTATTATTATCTGAAGATCAGTAGAGCCATGAGGCCAGCAGCTAGGTGGTCAGGGTAGAGCGGCAACTCTAGTGGATGCAGGGGTACTGGGTGGAGAAATTGGTGGCAGTTTAGGAGATGGACAGATAAGCAGCTCTGTGACCTCCAGCGTCACTGGAGCCAGGGGTGGCGGGTAACACTGTCCTGGGGGTGACATGAACATCCCCCCAGTTCTGCCTGAAGGTGCCATGTGCTGGTTCTGATCGACAATGATGACTGTCAAGTTTTAAGGGGATTTTTGTTCCTGAATTCCAGGATCCCTGGAGTGAGAGCTTGGTTCATGTGGGAATAGGAGTCTGTCTGTCAGGATTCATTCTAGAATTTAGGCAAGCTGAAAAAGCAGCTGGGGCTCAGCTGTGTAGGTCACGAGAAGGCAAACGTGGTATACTTGAGCAGGCTATCCAGTATAAGAATGACCTGAGTAGAGGCCCTGAGTCAGCTTTGGCAAAAATGGTTTGAGATGTTGACGGATGAGTAGGAATCTGTAGGATGGGAGAGTCTTCGCAGAGAGAGGAAAGTACGCACAGTCTCAGGTGTGAACGCACGTGGCTTCTGGCGATGGCATCGCAGCACGGAGTTTCTGGTGACATTATCCTTGAAAAGATTGTCTGTGAATCTCAAGCTAGGTAGTGGAGGTACTGAGGGATGAATAGTTTAAGCTAGGTGGAGTGAAAGTGAAGCTTAAAGGGTTCTGAAAGGGAGGATACCTGATGAAAGAGGGAGTAAGAGCTGGAAGGATAGGGTGTGGACGAGTGGAGCCCTGGGTTCAGCTGATGCGTTTCCACGGTCTTCCCCCTGGAGAAAGTTGCCTATATACAGTGAGGAAAGGTTAGAATGTGCAGATACAAAGGGACTTGGTGCGAGGGTACTGAAGTGAGCTGTTACAGAGATATTGATTGAATTAGGTTAGGCTGATGTCCGGCAGTAGTGAGACAGCGAGATTAGGACCCAGGCACCAAAGGCGTCAGGGAATGGGGGGAATAACTGAGGTAGGAGGGAGATTGGTGAGAAGGAGTAGAGGATATTTTAAATGGAGACGGCATCAACTTCAAAGGAGAGAAAAGATCAGTGTGACTTCAGCCAGAGGTCTCTCTGTGATCAAGGTAGAGAATATGGTCAATAGCCAGTTAGTAAAGTTTCATGGAAAATGGTTTAAGAGCTGGAAGGAATCTTAAAGACTAGTTCATTTAATCTCTTTGTTTTGTGGATGAGGAAACTGAGGTCCAGGGAGAGGGAAGGACTTCCCTGATGCGTTAGGAATGAGTTTAGAGCAGGTTTAGAACCATAATCTCCTGGTTTTATTTTAACACAGGATCTTCCCCCATCTCATCCTGAGCCCCGTGGTAGGTCCCAACCTCTGCTGTCTGTCATTTGTCCTCTAGTCTGTGAAGTTTTAGCCTTCCATTCCTGAGCCTACAGGTCCTGTCGCCACCCTGGAGGGGAATAGTAAGAAATGGGACCATTTTTGCTACTCCAATTCCTGACTTTCATGGAAGGTCGTTTCTCCTTTTGTCTTCCTTCCACTTCCTATGAAATGCCAATGGATTTCTTGACTGTCTTACAGGGAGGAACTAACATTTGAGATGCTTGTCCTGGAACCCCGTGCCTCTGATGATGAAACGCTTGAGTCTGAGGCCTCCATTGGGACTGCTGACAGCTCAGAAAATTTGAACATTGAGTCTGAAGGTGCCATCTCTGAGAAATCAGGTAAATGAACGAGGTAGACCAAAGACTCCAGATTTGTTTTGCAAAGGAGGATTAAGGATTCCCAAGCTAAGACAGAGTCCCTTTCCAGAATGCCTTGACCTTACATGAAAAGGTGACAAAGTCCTAAGGAGGTGAAATGTACTGATCTTTGTGAACCTTCCATATAAATTGTTTATTAGACAAAGCCTGCCATTTTTGGTAATTTAATGTTTTCTGCATTCACCACAGTGAAAGCCAGTAATACCAACAATGCTGTCTTACTGACCCATGATGCATTTTCTCAGGGTGGGTAGTTTCCTAAATGATGGTGACAGTCATAGACCTTCCCGAGTGGCACAGTCCAACTCCAGGCTTCCATGGGACTGATTCTGAAATGATGACGTAGAAATGGATGGCAACGCTTCCCAGGTTAGGACATCTGTGCAAAGTAGGGCATCCTGGACCCTCCACATCATAGCCCACACAGATTCACGTAGGAACAGTGACCCCTGTTCCTTGCACGATGGTTTGCATTAGAGGGAACTGTCATTTACAGATTTGGTCTCTTTTGTGCATTAGAGAGAAGCTTAGCCCTTAGCTCCCTGAAGGCAGCTGGCAAGTCTGAACCTTCTAGCAAGTTCCGAAAGCAGCTAAAAAAGCAGCATGACTCTCTGGATTCGGTGGACTCTTCAGCCTCTTCTTTATGTTCATCTAACACTGCATCTTCTCACGCGACCAGAAAACGATTTCAGATTTATTCCAAATCTCCATTCTACCGAGCTGTCTCAGCTGGTGAGGCCCTGGGAGTGGAAGGGCCGCTGGGCCAGACCAAATCCGTGGAAGACAGGCCTCAGTTCATCAGCAGAGGAACCTTCAACCCTGAAAAGGGCAAGCAGAAATTAAAGAATGTGAAAAACTCACCTCAGAAAACCAAAGAGACCCCAGAGGGAACCGCCATGTCTGGCCGCAGGAAAGCTGTGGACCCAGACTGCAGCTCCACCCAACAGCTAACTCTCTTTGGAAATAATGAGTTTATGGTCTGAACTGGCAGATGTGTGTTCTTTCATGGCTGCAGAGTGGTGAACACATCTCATCTGGGGGCCTCTTCTGATCACCTTGTCCATGGTCGTCCATCCTAGGTGTGGTCCTGCCTCGTGCCCACAGAACTGAGACTTAGTGTGCTGAATTCGTTGGCCTCCCGCCAAAATGGAAAGGCCCCTCTAAGCCTGCGGGGGTGGTGCCAGCTGTGCCTTGGCTGCTGTACTGGACTAGAGATTTCACTAAACAAACCACCGAGGGCCTGGAGCTTTGGGTCAGTGGTGGAGGTCCCCTCTCTGTGGTCGCCTCTTCCATCCTCTTTTCCCTTCCCAGAGGTGGGTGTGGGCCTGGGGGACCCGCTGATTTCTGACATTTGAAGAAAACATATAAATCTTCCTTAACCGTGAAAGCAAAAGCCTTTGGGTTTATTTTGGGATAGTTAGGAGCTGGGGTAGAATATACTTTTTTTCCAAGGATTTATAAACAAAATGCCTAAGCCCTCTATTTTAAGATTTTTGAAAAAACTTCATGTTATATTCTGGGGAAAGTAAAAAAGCAATTGTTTCCATTAAGCCATCAGAGAACGTCTCAGACACCTGGTTACACATGAAGAAGCGAGTACATGTTTTGTTTTTTGGTGATGTTTGATGTAATAATAATCAGCGCTGGTTTAACTCCTGGTTACTTCCTGCCAAATATTTTGCATGGGCTGAAGTTTCAGTAGCCATACTGTTCTTATATTTCTCTGTCCAAGGATCAGGTTGCTCTGATTTTTTTTTTTAACTGTTGCAGAGATTTGGTGATCCCTAAACAAGAAGGTTCCAACCTAGTCCAGCCAGTCTTTTCTCTTTGTATAGATTAAGCTGAAGATCACATATTCATAGGCTGGTGGATTTCAACCACAAACTCAGACAATTAATGTCACCATTTAATCACGTCTCCCAAAACATTCACACACAATACTGCATGAATAACTGTTACAGAAAGCTGCCAAAAAAATAAGAGAAAAGGTTTTCATATGACCCATCTAATTTTTATCTTCTTTTCCTCAGACCATCAGTATTAAATAGATTTTTAAAAATCAAGGACTACTTGAAGCTATTTTTGTTAATATTCTGGTTACTGAAGTTTACTGTAAATATATATGTATAGTATGCACATTTCTTTTTAACCTTATGCTTCCCTCCTCCCCGTGGAATTTCTTCCCCCAGATTATGGGTCATTGGACTGGGAGGTGACACCTCCCGTCCCTGGACTGAGGGACAAGTCAGACCATCTCTCACCACTGGGTGTCTCCATACACCTGAGTTACAATAGCATTTTAAGCTTCGTAGGATTCGTGGGATTCGAAATCTGTTTTTGCTATTTATGATACATGGAAAATGAAACATGTTACCCTTTCTTGAGATAAGTATGTGAAAATGTTTATTTTTAAGATTTGTTTTAAAGTTACTAAATGCATCTTGTCTAACTACCACATGCACTGTTCTAAAAAAAGAGCCTTTACCACCTGTAACCTGAATTTTGGTTATTCTTCCTTTTCATGCGTCTTTGATTTGAAGTTATGGAAATACTAAGACTTGTGTTAAGGCAGAGCATCTCCTGTTACTCAGCGCGGAGCCTCGCGCCACTGGCTGCGTGGCTGTTGTCAAGCCCGAGGTACCTCTCGGAATGTGGTTCCCGCTAAAGGCAGCGGGAGTCTTACCCGCCCCTGGTCTGGGTTCAGCAGTGATCTAGGGAAGGGAATCCTTTCAAATCCAGAATGATGATGGTTAGTGAGTAAATGTTCGCTTTTATAGCCCACAAACACCGGCCAGCTTGTTTGTGCTGTTCTGAGGAGTCATAAATGGGAAGCCTTTAAATAATTGAATTTTGGAGACTCCCCTGGAGGAAAACCCAGGTCCTCAGCATGGCATGTCCCAGGGGGATCGCTGCCCAGGCCCCGGCCCCTGGCAGGCCACAACCTGGCCCAGTGCCCCTGGGAGAGTCTGCTCTGGGCCTGACGGCCTTTCCACCTGCTCCAAACATTGGTTCAGTACCACACAAAAAGGCGATGACCCTTTCCTTCAGCCCCGAGGAATGGCCTGGAGAACACATCTGGGCACATGTTCTCCTCCTAAACCTATGTGGAATTTTTTGATGTTGCTATTGTTGTTTTTTGCAGAATAAGTTTTTGGCAGTTAAAAAACTACTCATTTAAGTCACTTTATAGGAACTCAGCAATGGATGTTAAGAGACTTTATAATTTTTCTCAGGGACCTGAAACCTGAATTTGGATAAAATTAAATAAAAAATATTTGTTTTTCAGTTGCTAGATTTGTGGATTTCTAGTCATTTAACAAGCTGCCAAAATGGAGGGTGGTGGGGAGAAGAGATCATGAAATTGTAAGAATGGAGAACAAGTGTGTGCCCCTCCGTGTGAAGGAGAGAAAGCCGTTGTTCTCATAGAGTAATAGGCATTGTGGCCTGATAAAGAGATGAAGTTGGAACTCTTGAAAACTGCCAGAACCAAGTGCTGTATCTCCTTCCATTTGATCTTACGGGTTCTCTCCCTGGTTCAGGTTCCATCACCATGAAGTGAGCTGCACACGATACAGTCACTTACGATTAAGATACTTGCTCTTAATATGTATCACATCTGTGTGTCCTGTTGTTTCTCCTTTGCATGTTTTCTTTGATCTCAGATGCCTCCTGGCCCATCCTCCAAAATGCAGAGCACTGTTCTTACCACACAGCCCCAGCCCCAAACAAAGGCTGGGTTCTCAACTCTCTCCTTTAAAGCCAACACGTCCCTTATCGTGGATAATGTCATGGAAGCAGAGGCATGTAGTTTTGGGGGCCACATTGGGTATCACAAAGTGAGGCAAATGACTTTAACAGCAAATACAGGAAGAGTTCGGAGGAGACCTGCTTAATTTAGTTTGTAAAGCACTTTGTACTTCTGCCGTTTGAATCACTTTGCCACAGTGGGCTCTGGGAACACAAAGGGACAGCCAGCCTTCCCTGAGTCTCGCAGAGGCAGACCTCTTACCCTGCGAGGAGGTTAGTGGAGAATTCCCCGCTCTGTCACGATAGGGTTGTTTTTACTGTCAGAGGCAGAGTGTCCCAGACTCGCTGAGAAGAGGTGCCGCTCGGTGCAGCCCACTCCGTGCCCGTGGGCCGTGGTTACTTTAATACGATGAATGTGTGCGCCTCATGAGCACTTCGGTGAAGCAGAGAAATCAGGATGTGTTCAGAACTCAGAGTTTTAATTTAAAAAAAAATGCAGTCCAGACGGCTTTCCTTATCCTTCTTTCTCCTCTTTTTTTCCCTTGGTGGGGAGCTGGACATGGGGCACGCATCACTGTGTTGACAAATGTGTTACGTCTACCCAAAATTCTGTGACAACTCCCCAGCATCGTCCCCCCAACACCATGCTCGCCTTGATGGTGAAGTTCCTTGGTATTTGTGGGAGTCCTGTCTCTCTCTCTCTGCCCCTAAAATACTTTGAACCACTTTTCTCTGGAACCCTTCCCATTTGGTGTTAAAAGGTAACAGCAGAATGGTGATGGGACATGGGTCTGTTATGTCATCTTGGTCTCTTGGTTGAAACTGGTTTTGAAAAAGCCCCACCAAGGGGTCTATCACCTTGTTATCCACCCTTATTACCTATTTATCAGCCCTCTTAGGTCATAGAAAAGTGACACCTTTTGAACCAAGTAATTGTATTTTCTAGGGGAAAGGTGTGTGCTACAGATTAGTATTATTTTAATGGATTTAAAGTAATTTATAAGTATGCTGAGTGTAAATTTTTAAAAGACTATGTATTGTAAAAGGACATATCCTGTGAAATATAATATTTTACTGTTAAACAGAATAATTCTATAAGAAGAATGACATTTCACCCACGGAACTGATTACATTCCTGATACAATCAACAGGCACTTTGTATTTTTGAGGGAGTTGGGGGGGAGCAAGACATCATCTGTATAAAGTCCAGTTTGTGTCACTGAAAATATGCACTGTATGGCTACAAAGCAGCTTGAACAAATCACCCCAATGGCTCATTAAAGAACAAAAGCTTCCAGTAGCAGCAATGCGTGTGGTTTGTTTTCTGACCGTCCTGGCTCCCGCCCCAACTCGCTCCAACCTGATCCCAAGGAACAGCAATGTTTTTTGTTTGTTAAACTGATTTTTTTAAGGAAAAGGCTGAGCCCAAAGTTGACAGTGCAGAGGTGGTGGTGGTTGGAACTCAACTGAGTGCACGTGATGGTGAGATTGAAGCTGCTGGTTCCCTTCATGGATTCTAGCTGCTGGCCATCCCCAATTCATCTCATCCGCTTAGGGCTGGCTGGGCAGGGAAGGCGATACACCTGCATTTAGGGTCCTCACCAAAAGGGCCGTGAAGAAGTGGCAGTACCTGCTTATAGAGGCCCAAGAGTTCAAACCTAGTTTGTCGTTTTTGTCTGCCATTCTACTTCAGTCATTTGCCCTCTCTGGGTGTTAGTTTTCCTCTCTGGAAATGAGTTCTCTTCCCCAGGTTTCTGAATAACTAACTCCTACTGACTCTCAGGCCTCAGTGTAAAACAGTTCTAGTTGGAAATTGCCTCTTCTCCCTTGAACTGGGTTAGATGTCTTGTGTTCTCAACAGTTCCCAGTATTTGTGGCACCAAAACAGTTTGATGTCAGCTTCCCAAGGCAGGAAATGTGACTGTCTTGCTGACTCTGAAATCCCCAGCACCTAACAAAAGGTGCCAGCACTTAAATATCAGAAGAGAGCATTGAATGAGATCAGAGCTTCCCAAACCCCAAACCAGGTCTAAGGTAAATGGAAAAAAAAGAATGTAGTAAATTTTTCCCTAACACTAAATTCATTGACTTTTTAAAACCTGAGATTATCCTTCCCATTTCTTGGTAAAGTTTACATTTACATTTTTGCATTAAACTACATCGAAATGATAAGGATAGAGTAAATGTTGCTTTAAATTTCCTTAATTGGCCCAACAAAACCTAGAGATAACTGCTTTTAAAACTTACCCCTGTGATTACTGAATTTATAACAAACCTTTCAATTATAAAGATGAGCACGTGAAGATGAGGAGATGTTAAGTTATAAAGAGACCAGATCTTTGGTTTTTTAAAAATTGTCCATTCTCCTAGATTGGGAAATAGTACAGGGTCTTAGAGCCAGGGATATACCCATGAAAGTAGATAAGACACGTGATATGTTTAATCTTGTAGGCACCTCGGACACCTAGTTGTGGAGTGGTTCACTTCCCACTTCTGTGTTGCCATTAATCCTTCAAGTATTTCCTGAGCGCCCACACTGGTGAATAAGACAAAATTCCCTGCCCCGTGGTGCTGGCATCCTAGTGGGGAGAACCCATCATGCCCACCAGATGGAGACAAGTTATCGTAATACCTGGGTTCCGTCATCAGGCTATATTCGTTCACTTGAATGGGTGCTTCTTGGCATCTTTCAGTCTTTCTCTGCCCCTTAAGGGTCGAGGAGGAGATGTGTCTTCTGAACCTGAAAACTGCAGCTGAAAGGCCCACGGAACCACTTCTGTGTGCTTCATAACCAAAGACATTTCTGGTATTGAGGGCAAAAAGGAACTTCCATAGTATCCCCTCTCGCGGCAAGGGTCCTAGATGCAGTAAAAGAGCTGTTACCCATCCGAATTTTAGTGGGGCCGATTTACAGCAAAAGGTTGAATAAATGCTTGACTTGACAGAGCTACATTGTCTTAGGAAAACGGAAGCCACTCACTATGTTCCAGGTGAAAGGGCTTCATATAGGAATTAGGGGCTTAACATCAACACTGGAAGAACTGGGCAAGTTGGGCAGTTCTCAGGAGGCTGAGAAAGCCAACACAGATGTCAGCCAGAAGTTTCTAAATTCTCAACAGCTTGCCCGGAAGCGACTGCAGTTCTAAAGAAGGCCGCTGTGAAATTGCCATCTGCCACACATCCGGCCACAGCTGCCTCTGGAGAACAATGGAGAAGAATGGCTTCTCGCTTACCTTCCAAATCTCAGGAGTGCCCTCTTTCCCTTAGCAAACCACAGGGGCAGGGATCCTGGGAAATGTAGTTCCTGGAATCTGCAATGAACACAGGCCTTAGAAGGGCAGGTGGTATGGATGCCACCAGCTTAGACCTCCTTTAATTCTCCAAGACTTCCTCCTGGAGACCCCAAACAATGCCTTTCCCAGTGTAGCTCTGCTGTGTTCCCACATCCTAGACACCGCCTGTGAACTTCAGCAGGCTGCCTTTGCAGTCTTAGGGTCTCAAAGCAAGACTAGGGTAAGTGTGCAGGGCCTAGCTGGTCATATTTCAACCATGTTTCTTGCTGAAGTGCCTTTGCTCAGGCTTTCTATACATAGGCCTTTAAACCTACAGGCAAAACTTTGGGTAGGGAATTGGAAGGGACGATGACATTACAGACATTAAATCACCCGAATAACTGAGGCAAGTCGGACCCTTTCAGAAGATGAAGAGTCTCAAGTAGTTTGAGTGCTTAAGTGGGCTGGACCTCAGCTGGGCAGGATTTTCCACTCTTTCCATCCTGGGCACCAACCTAGCAATGGTCATTTCCAAAGCAAAGTGTTCTGAACCGTTCTCCCTCCATCACTCTCCCTCCATCACCACAGGATATCTGTGTCAGCTGGGAGAATCCAGGCACAGGCCAAAGGGCAGGGAATTTCTCACATGACCTTTCCTTCTTGACTTCAAGCATCTCTCTTCTTTGAAGGAGAAAATGCAGCAGACTGTTCAGGGGCTCCAGAGGTTGAGGGGGTGAGGGCAGGAGGCAGTGCCACAGCTGAGCAGAGTCACAGCACGTCCGAGTCCTCGCTAAGCCTCAGGGTTTTCATTCATAAACGTGGATGATTTTTCCCTCCCCAAGAGTTAATCTGAGGATTAAACAACCATGCACAATGGGTACTTGGTTCACTGCCTGGTATATGAAGTGTCTGATACATGTTAATTGTTTTATTATTTTATTATTATATTATTATTATTAATTATTTTCTAGGTCTTCTGGGTCTGTCTGTGAAAAGGATGAGGTTTGTCTGAGCTTCATCAGCCTTCATCAGGAATTAGGAAGTGGACATGACCCTTCACAAAAAGGACTGGTTAGCTGCCTTGTGTTGAGTTGGATGGTGCTCAGCTTTGGGGATGGGGAGTGAGGGAGGATAAGGAAGAGAAAGACTGAGAGAAGCCATGGGAGGTGGGGTGCCATCTAGAGGGGAGCTGGGTGGTTGCATCCTGCGGGAGGTTTTCACCTGGCTGGAATTCATTGTACCTGGACTCTGACACGGAGCGGAAGCCCCACGGAGCTCAGGACCCTGTGCCCGTTCCTTAAGGGTCCTCAGAAGGAGGGCCTTGGCCACACTCATTTCCCTGGTTTTGTGTGTTCACTTTTTCATTGAGGTCTAACATAATACAGTAAAGTGCACAAATCTTATGCGCACAGCCTAAATAATTTTTATGAATGAATATATTTGTGAAATCACCTCCCAGATCAAATAAAGAACATTTGGAGCACACTAAAAGGCCCCCTTGGGTCCTTTGCCAATCACCCCACCTCCCGCCCCAGGGGTAACCACTGTTCCAATGTCTGTCACCACCAGTTCGTCTGACCTGTTCTGGGACTTCGTATAAGTGGAACTTGTGCCTGGCTTCTTTTCTTCAACTTATGTCTGCGAAATTTACCCATGTTGTCACATATATTGGTAGTACATTCTTTTTTATTTCTGTTTTCCATTATATGAATATACCATGATTGACTCGGCCATCAACGTACAGTTTGGGGCTACTATGAATAAAGCTGCTATGAATATTATAGTATCTCTTGGTGGACATTTCTGCTAGGTACACACCTCCAGGTGGAATTGCTGGGTCACAGGGCAGGCAAGTGTTTTACATCCGTAGACTGTTTTCCAAAGCGGCTGTGCCCACTTTACTTCCGCCTCCATTAGTTTTTGAACATATCACAGAGGAGCTTTTCCATTGGAGTATTCCCGATGGTCTTGCGGAAAAACAGGAGCTCCACGCGTTCAGAAGCGATAAACCTCAAAGAAGGGAGGAGCAGGAGCAATTTCCCAAACCTGAACGGGAGACGGGACATCAGCCTTTGAATTATCGTCCCTGAGCGGGCTTCCTGGGGGCAGTGGCCTGGCTGAAGGAGAGGAGAGGTGAGAGGTATGGGGGAGTAGGAGGAATTTTGAGGAAAGGCCCCATTTACTAGAGGGGTTCCCGCCACCTACCCCGGACCCGTTGTTGCCTCCCTCTGATATGTTTAGTTGAGGAGTGCAATGAAAATATGAATAAACATTGTTTATTATGTGTAAAGATCATTATAAAGTGAGAAATGCTTTATATTAATATATGTGATTATGTTATTATTAATCATATATACTATTATTGTGATTATCTGATGAATACTATATATATTTGAATAAGAAGATAAATTCCCTTCTGTAAGCCACCTAGGATGATAGTGGAACCATTAGTGAAAACGTCCCGAAGCGGAAGCATAGTTTTTGTGGCTGAGATGCTCACCCAAAAAATAAGTAATTGTCATTTTAAATAAGAACCATTTACTGAGGCAAGGATCCTCAGGGTGAAGAAGGTGGACGGTGAAGCCCCAAGTTACAGATGGGGGGACTGTACCTTTCTCAGGTAGGAGCCCTGATAGCTGGGGTCAATGCCCAATGTCAAGGAGGCTGCTCCAAAGTGAGCCCCTGCACGCCCACCTCCCACCATGGAGATCTGTGGCAAGCCTGCCCCCGCCCCCCCCCTCCCCGATCCCCAGGGCTCGCTTCCTCTTGTGAGTGCAAATGAGTGGCACTGAGCAGCCGCACACCCCTCCCTGTGCCTTCCCTCTTCTGTGTGTCTGATCTAAGCGATTCAGAAAGAAGTAACTGTAAAGTCAAGGAGAGAAATTGGTTTTTGCACTGTGGAAATTGACTCACTAGTGGGTCTGAAATTAAATGTAGTGAGTTACATTAAAAGCCAGTCGTTTAGAAAGAATACAAGTGTCAGACTAAGTTATACAAAGTAAGGCATTGTTTGGTGGGACTTTGTTTTAGTGTCTGTGTGTGTTGGGTTATGATGGAAATTGTATTGCTCCCTGAGTCTTGCTGTTTTTAAAAACTGAAATACGCTGACTTAGAGAACCCCACATCACTCTCAACACTCAGTTCTGCCTTAGCTGGGACCGAACTGCTCTAGAAGTGATGCCGGAAATCTTAATCAGAATTTTGAACTTTGACACAAAACCGATATGCTGGGACGTCTCTGGGAGGGAGCCGGACAGGGACTTGGCTGAGGAGGCTTCCATTGTCTGTGGTGACCATCCTTAGGCTGTCCTGTCAGCTTTTCAGCAGTGTTCTCCTGCGCTCATGAGCAGCTGCAATTTTTCTGTGCAGCGCGATATTCCTAGTACCCTCTGACTCTTTTTAAAGGGGAATTACCTCTTCTCATGACCATTTCTCAGATTAGAGGTGAAGTGAGGTTGTGCATGTTAGCTTACCTCTTCAGAAAGAACTACTGGGGCCCCGGAGCATGCAGATGACATGGCCCAAAATAGCCAGAAGACGCTAGAGCCAACCAGCCCGACCCTGGGCGGCTCCACTGTCCCTGCTGGGTTCGGGCCGAGCTGGGCGACCCAGAGCACTGGCCCTTTCCCCACCCTCTCCACCGTACCCTCAGCCCACCGCGACTGCCCCCTAACCCAGCCGGGCTGGGCGTTGCCCACACACATAGCTTACGCAAGTCCATCCCCAGGAGCCGTTCCTCTGCACGCCCACCACACCTTGTCGTGTTCCCTCAGAACTCCTTTTGCCTCCTGAGACTCCTGTTTATTTCATGACCACCTCGTCTCCAAATCGCTCCTCTTCCCTTACATCCTCCCAAGTGCCAAGTCGGACCGTTCCCGGTCCTGGAGGCTCTTGGATCTGTCCTCTCCTTTCTACTCCGGAGGAGCAGACTCCAGGGACTTCCGGGACGATGGCAGCATCTCTGCACTCGCTGCCATGCCGTCCGCAGGAAGTCTAGATCTGTGTACAACACCCTCCCACTCACTGAATCAGACATGGCCTTGGCTGGCATTCAAAGTCCTCAACAGGCCATCCCAGAGTGCCATTCTGGCTTAATCTCCCACCTTGTCACGGGCAGCAGTGTTGTACCTTCCAAACTGGGCCCCTGTCCTAAGAACACATCCAAGTTTGCCGCCCCCACGTATGTGTGTCTCTCTCTTTATCCCTTTGTAAATGATGATGATTTCTCTTCTTTTAGACCCACCCTTCCTTCCAAGTCCTGCCTCCACAGGCCCTGTCAGGTCTGCGGTCACCCCACCCCCACCCCCACCCCCTCCCAGTGGGTCTCTCTCTCCTTCAGACCCATGCAGCCCCCTACCTGACCAGGGTAGTGCTCATCTTCAGTGTGGCCACCGTCCCGGGCATCCCCGGGACGCAGCACATTTTGGTCCCCACTCCTGGGCCTGGCTCTGTACCTGTCACACCGCAGATGTCGGATCTGTGCTGGTTGAGCTGAGACCCTTGTCCTGTCTAATCAGTACAGCCCTGAGGTGGAGCCAGATTGGTGGGCGGGGGGTGAAGAAGGGACGGGATAGGTGGGCAGGGGGGCGAGTACTCAGGTCACCTCACAGGCTGGCTGGGGTGGTGGGCTTTGCTGTGCTGGCTCAGCATCACCTGGGACTGGTCCTGCAAGGCCTCCACCTGCTCCGGATCCTTCAGGCCCCGCGTTTCTGGACAGGAGCAGCAGCGGTGAGCCCCTCTCCCATCCCACCCTGCCCTCACAATCAGCCCGGGCCCGCAGGAGGGGTGCTCCCAGCCCTATGCCTCCTCTCTCCTCCTGCTCCGCAGGGAAGAAGTCTGCACGTATCTGGGCCTATATGGGGTGACGAAGGGAAAGTGAGGGGCAGGAGGAAGTCATTCCCATTCTTCATCCCCGACCACGTATCTGGAAGGCTTGGGCAAAGACTCAGCTACCTGGTTTGAAGAGGACCAGGGCCTTCATGCAGGCAAACTCTGTGGGGTCCACCGCCAACGCCCGGAACCGTGAGATGGTTTCCTGCAGGATTCGCATCTCCATGCTGGCCAATGCCAGCCGGCCCTGGGAGCTGCCAGCCGCCGGGGCCTCCGGAGGGGCCAGCAGTGGGCAGTGGTTCAGAGGCAGAGACCACTGGATGGCTCCGAGGAGGAAGAGTTCACTCCACGCCTCTTCCAGCAAGATCACCTGTGCTCAGAGAGGGAGGGAGTGTGGTCGCTGGTACACAGTATCCCTGGCTCAGCCTGCAGCCTGTGCCACCGTCTAAGGTGCCCTAGGAAAGGAAGGGCCGGTCCTGGGGGCCTGGGACATTCTCAGAGCTCTGGAATTTGACACCATCTGGCCTCGCTGCCTAGGCTCCAAGACACTGTGGGCTCCACCTGGAGCCGCGCCTGGAACACTTATGGAAGCCTAGAGCTGTGGGGAGTGGGGCAGCCTCGGGGACATTCCCCATGAGCACCCTAAGTCGAGGGTACTTGGAAGACGCTGCCTGACTTCTGAACTGCTGCATCCAAACCACTGGTTCGGCTCTGGCCTCTGTGCCTCTGTTCTCATTTATCATAACATGTCGGTCTGCTTGCCCACAAGAAGTGCAGAGGGGCGTCCCAGAGATGACAAGGCTGGGCTGAAACTCAAGCCCCGGCACCAGAGGCCTTCGTGTCCCCACGGAGCCCAGAACCTTTACCCACGCTGCTCAGGGTGTGCAGACCACTCACTGCATACAGTGTGTGCAGGGCCTGAGGTTCTGTTTGGGAGGAAAAAGACCCCAGGCCATGGGCACTACTTTCAAACCCCTGCTCTGCTTTCTGTGCCCCTGGCCAGCACTGTCCCCTAGGTGCTCATCCCAACCATCATCGCTGCCCAGAGACGTGAGCAACCCTGACAGTCACAACCCTGACACATGTACTCCTGATTATCACTAACTCAGAGGTGTGGGCGACCGACAGTGGCCATCCCAAGGCGCATGCACCGCCAATCATCACCTGCATGGGTGTGTGCGCCCCCAGCCCCGTGGCTTGTGGGGCTGCCTCACGGGTGTACCTGGTCCCGGAAAGGCAGGTTGGAGAACACCGGCAGGTTCTTGGCCCACTTGACCGCCATGAAGAGCAGGCGAGCTGACGTCTCATGGATGCTTTCTGGGCCACAAGGGGAGGAGGGGACCTCGGGGTCATTGCTGGTGACATCGATGTTCTCATCAGCTGTTGGAGGAGGAGGCTGTGACATCAGCCTCTGCTCTTTGGCAGGCGGCAGGAGGTGCGCAGGGGCCTGGGTGTGGGGGTAAATGCTGGGGACTGACCCGGGAACTCAGCCTTCCCCCCATTTACCATCCTCTGGCTCCAGCTTAGCACAGGTTTCGGCTGTTATAAGGCTGGCCATGAAGTGGTGGTGACCTGGAGGTGTGAGGGCCCCCGGCCCCAAGGCTCTGGCTGCAGAAACAGACATGGGGCCCCGTGGGCTGGGCCCTGCTGAGGCCGGCAGTGCCACCAGGGGCGCCAGCTGGGGCTCCCTGTCTGACACCATCCTCTCCAGGCGGACGTGGGCTGTGCTTCGGGGCTGGCGCTCATTCTGCACGGCTGGGGAGACAGGAAAGGTCAGGACCCCGCCCCCCAGTCATGCACTCCCATCTCTTCTGTCACGCCTCTCCAGGTTGGCTCCCCGACTCACCGTCCTGGTTCATACCCGCCTGCAGGCACTTCTTCAGCCGGCAGGCCTGGCACTGGTTCCTATGGGCCTTGTCCACCGGGCACATCCCTGCCCCCACCTGGCACCTGCAGGTGGAGGGAGCTGCGGGCATCAATGTGCTGCGCAGACCCTGGACCTCAGGCTTTGGACATGTTCGCCCTAACCGCCCCTTCCCCTCCCAGGGACCTGGCAGGGCTGTCCCGGGGGTCCTGCCCTCCCTCACCTATAGATGAGCCTCCGCCTCACGCTCCTCTTGAAGAAGCCGCTGCAGCCGTTGCAGGCGTGGATGCCATAGTGCTTCCCACTGCTGCTGTCCCCGCACACGCGGCACTGGACGGAGGGGCCCACGCCTGAGCGGCAGGGGCAGGGGCTGGGCGGGGCTGGGCCGCACACCCCTCCCACAGCCTCAGGGACCCCTCGACCGCGCGCGCATTTCCTTCCCATCTGGAGAAAGGCCTCCTTTAGCATACGCACCTCACCCCGCCTCCCGGCTTTTGCCCTCTCGCCTCCCTCTATAGCCAGCTTTCAGCAAGAGCACTGCTCTCTGCCTCCACCTTCCACCTCCCGTTCCCTCTGTCTGCAGTTGCCTCAGGCTCCATCATCGCACACAAACATCTGGACAGCGCCTCAGCGACCTCCCTCCACTGACAAACCCTCCTCTTCCCTTCCTATCGGCTCAGCTGTCCTGTCCTGGCTCTGCTGACCCCTGTGTGTCTAGGATTCTGGGTTTCCCAGCAGGTTCCCTCACCCTTGCCCACAGTTCTTGGGCTGGGCCAGTTGCTCTGGCTCCTTTCACGGCGCACACTTTGACCCCCAAGGGCTGAGACCCTACCTCCAGGAAAGCCATACCTGCCTGCTCCTCCCCCAGGGCCCATCTGCCTGGAGACTCCTTCCTGGAGGCAGCCACAGCCATCTGCGCAGCTGCAGCCATGTTGGATGGAGCTTGTGGGCGCTGTGGGCCGAGTCCTGGCGGGTCCCAGGGCAGCCTCTGCTTTGCTGCCTGAGGGACGCCTCCCAGGACGCTGAGCCAGTAGGCCTGTGCCTCCCTGTGTCTACCTCTGTCTCTCTATTTGTGCCCCTGTCTCTCTTCTCTCTCTGCTTCTCCCTGTTGCTAGCCCTGTGTGACCTCCGTCTGCTTTTGTCTCTCTCTCCCTGTCTGTTGTCTCTGTCCTCTTGCCTTCTGTCCCCTCTGTCTGAACTCAGGAGCTGCCCCAACTTCTCTTCACAGCAGCGGCTCTGGCTGGAGGAGATTTCTCCCAGGACAGCGCGCTGCACGCAGCCTATGATCCTCTTAATCTTTACTGTCTCCACAGGGGATCAACCAGCCACACCTGCAGCATTACCAAGGTGCCCCCGGAGGCAGTCCATCCTGCTGCCCCTGCACCAGCCCCCAGGCTGCCCAGTGTCCCCAGGTCCCACCTGCCCAGTGCTCTCAAGCTGTTCACCGTCCAATGCCAAATCTTCAAGGGAGGTGTGGACTCCACTTCCTCCAGGACTTGAACCTTACTGAGCTGGTTAGTATGCTTCCAGGGACAAGTGTGTGGCTGGGGTGTGTGTGCCCCTGTGGCTCTGCTCAGGTGGTGCTCACTGTAGGTCCTGGGTAGGTCCAGCTCCTACTCCCTGATACGGGACTGCTTAGGGCCCAGGATTTGAGGGTCCTGGCCCCTGTGGAAGGTTAGCGTTCCCCAGACACCTGGCACAGAGGCAACTCCCATCACACTTGGGAATGGGTCCAGTGTAGGGTCTGAGGCTAACCTGGAGGCGGGGAGGCCTGGGGCCCAATGTGCAGGGGTCTCCTTCAGGCCTGTGAGGCAGCGGACGAGGAGCTGGCAGGTGTTGTTCTTACCCACCTGGAGAGCTGGGCCTGCAGGACGAGAGGGGGTGGGACACAGGCCCTGAGCCTGGCTACGGGCTCTCAGGCAGCCTACCCTCTTCTCCCTGAATCGGCCTCATGGTCCTGGGTAAGCTGGTCCTTCAGCTGTCCCCAGCGTTCCCAGCTCAAGCTCAGTGATGCTTCTGAGGAGGAGGAGTCTGTCACCTCAGACCAAGCACCAGACCCCAGAGGGAGGGTGGAGAGAGCAGAGACAGACCCAAGTTCAAATTCCTGCGTCCTCCCAGGCCAGCCGCGCGGCCCTGAGCAGTGATCTAACCTCTCTCTGCTCCACTTTCCTTGTGTGTAAAAAGGGGTGACAAAAGTGTCTGTCAGTACTGTAGTTGGGGACACTAAGATAATTCTCGAAGTGTTTCAGCACCTGATACTTAGTAAGAGTACAGTACATGATGAATGCCGTTGTTATTATTACTTCTTAGGTTATTGAGAAGATCACGGAGCAATCCTCAGTAAATAGTCTTCCCTTTCCCTGCTCCTGTGCCCCCACCCCCACCCCCACCCCAGGCCCAGGCTGGAGCAGAAAGCCCCAGGTTGGCCTGGAGGGGCCCATCCATCCTCAGAAGACCTGAGCTCACCTCTGAGGTGAGCCTGGGGCAGGGGTTGGCCCAGCCTTAGAGCCCTAGAGGGAGGGAGGACAATGTGAAGCTTCTGGGAGGACCATCAAGATCAGGGGACAGAGAGGGTGGGGCAGGACCCTAGGTAAGTGGGGTTAACCCTCACTGTGACAAGGAAGCACTATTGGGGATTTGGAAAGTCAGCTTGAGGGACTTTGCAGGATAATCTGCTCTCTAGGGCCTCAGAAGATCGAGGCCACAGGGCTGAGGCCTCTCCTCTGACCTCTTTGTCCCTGTCCTCACCCTTCTACCCTACCCTCCTGCCAGGCAGCCTCGCAGGACGCTCCACTGTAAGGTCTACAGCTCCACCTCACCTCCAAGTCAAGGGGGTCTCCCTTGAGCTAGACTGACTGGCCTCTCCTTCCCTAAGCTCCCCTCTTCCGTTTCTTCGGGAACATAGTTCTTCACTGTCTGCCCCTCTGCTTGGAACTTGTCATCACCTTAGTGTGCCCAGAGGTGGGCCCCAGCAGACCTTTTCACGCCCTCCTCGGTCCATCTTGCACACATCCATGGCTTCCATGACAACTTCACACCACACTCCTGCCTGGGGCTCTGCCCCGAGCTTCCAACCACAGGTCCACCTGGAGTCCAGCTCCACAGGAGACAGGCGCCGAAGCCGGGAGGCAGGGACCACATGTTGCACTCATGTGTTGAAAGGAGCTGAGAAGGGAAGTCAGGACAGCGTGGGTCAAGCGAACAAGGGAAGGGGAGGACTCGAAGATGGAGGCATCAGCCGGGTCGAGCGTCCTCTAAGGCCATTTGTATCACTAATAAGAACAGCACAGCCCGCGAGAAGAGTGCCTGCACAAATTGCAATGTGGCATCCAAACCTCACACAAACCTCTAAAGAAGTTGTCCTTATCAGCCTCAACTCACAGATGAGGAAACTGAGTCTCGGAGAGGTGAAGCAATTCGCTGCAGGACACACAGCTACGAGTGGTGGAAGAGACGGGACAGAGACAGGGTTCAAACTTACATCTGATCCCCAAATTCCTGCTTTCCACCTAGGTGCTCTCCAGGGGTACTTGAGCGTCTCCTTGGCTTTAGCAGCAGGAGGTAGCTGGAGCCTTGAGCTGTTCTATGGCCCTGGGTGAGGGGGCGGGCTGGAGGCAGAGCCCTTGCTGAGAAGGACAGGAGCAGGACTAAGTAAGGGCTTTGCAGGAAGGGTGGCACTAAGAAAAGTCAAGGGAGATATTTAAATAAAAATGTTTAAGAAAAGAAGCTCCTTTTAAAATGGGAGACAGAGGAAAAGAGCCAGAGAGAGCAAGGGCTACCTGAGCAAGCCTGAGGGGGTGGCAGAGTACATGTAGGGGGGTGGCTTTGGCCGGGGCAGGGGCCCCTGGAAGGAATCAGAGAGCCCAGGGCTGCAGGGACAGGCACGCCACACGCCTCCTCTCAGATCCTGGTTCTGTGTGAGCTTGGTCAAGTTATTCTGCCTCTGTTTCAGTTTCATCACCTCTAAACTGGGTCCACTGGTGTCCCCTTGGGTGTTGTGCTGGCATTACAGTGACGTGAAAGGGGGTGTCACTGTCCGAGATGAGAAGGAGCAAGAGGCCAGAAAGCAGAGGTTGGAAGTGACCACTGTCACCCAAGGAAGGGACTCAGGGAGGGACTTCGGGGCAGGCTCTGAGACTCAGCGGAGATTAAAGACAGTGACTGTACAAGTGGGCAGTGTGGGCAGGTATAAGAAAGACTTTCTTGGACGCTCTCAGCAGGGAGGCGAATATTGGGATAAGGCAGACCCGAGAGGACTGCTCCTGGCTTAGTTCCTCCCAGCAAGTGCGCGGGCGGGACCTGGAGAAGGAGCGGAGGAAGGCATTGGGGAAGGGCCTCCAGGTGAAGGGGAGAAGCAGGGGACTCATTTCCGGGGGCACTCAGGCCCGTTCAGGGCTCACCTACCCTAGACCACCTTCCCTGACCCCTCAGTCCATGGACTGTCCCTCTATAGGCGCCACTAGGGCCAGATTTTGTCCTTAATGCTGAACCTCCCTCCAGGTCAACTTCCTGTGCTCAGTCCAGGCGGAAGTTTCTAGGACCAGGTTCACAGTTTCAGGTCAGCTGGGCATGAGGATCACAAGGCACTTAATGCACAGGAATCTTTTTACAACTTGTCTGTATTTTCTTGGGATCCTTATAGTGGCTATGTATTACTTAGAATGGCAAAATAATAAGTCCATTGCAATAAAAGATATCTGCAGTGTCTGACCTGCCTATTCTTCCTTGGTTTGTTTTGACTTTATTCTGCCGACCCCTCGCGTCATTTTGATCCCAGCCGAGTTCCTTTCTCCCGCTGGCCCTGGGTTCTTTGGCAGGTCAGGCCCAGCCTGAGCCCTGACTATGCAGTGGGAGAGGATGACAGCCCAGCAGGACTGGGGCAGGAGGAGTCCCCGATCTGTGACCACCAGCTGCTGGGGCAGACGCCAAAGGATTACTCAGCCCAAAGCCCTGAATCTGCTGACAAAGCCACCAGAGGCCACCTTATCACTATACAATTATTCCCTCAGGGGACAGGTCAGCAACTTCCTTTGAACTCCCTGGAGGTCTGGGGCAGGGTAGGGGCAGAGCTGGGGCAGGAGGGGCAGCGGGAGGTACGTAATAAAGGCTGCAGGGCTGACCTCCATCTGGACACTTAAGACCCTGGACCTAGGCCTGAGAGATGACCTGGGCTCTGCCAAGGGAGGAGGGAGTGGCTCCTGGGGTGACCCAGCTGCCAGTCAGGCTGGCGGGGCTGATCAGCCATGGCTATGCCCATTCCAGCAGCTGCCGGCTTCTGGTTTCAGGCAAGCCTCCTTCACAGCATTCCGTCCTGGAAACGTGGCTTCTGGGATTTCTTAAAAGTTCTCCCCCACCCCATCCCCCCACACAAGGTTCTTCACTGTCTCTGAGAAAGGAAAACAAGCGGTGAGCACACTGGCTGTGGCGCTCAACACCCAGCAGCGGCAGTTCCAGGAAACCATCCCACAGAAAATCTCACAAAGATTTAAAGATAAGTAGGACTGCTCTCTGCAGCCCTTCAAGGAGAACAGCCCTTTGCAGACAACAGGCTAAATGAAGTGTGTACCAACCACTCTGCAGTGGATTGTGGTGTAGCCGCAGCAAGTGGTGGTGTTTCCGTACTGGTGTTTGTGGAAACAGGCCCGCAGTGTGTCAACTTCAAAGCCAGCGAGCAGCATTATGGACATGTGGCTTCTTGTGTCTCGGGAATTCCTGATCAAAGATCATGGGACTCCTTTCTCCTTGGCACGGCCTAAATCAATCCATAGTTTCTTTAGAGCAATGAGTGGAAGGTTCAGGACTCCAAGAGGCAGACACCAGCATGAAAGTTTCTCAACAAAGCCTCTATTTTCTTTTCAAGATAACATTTAGAAATAATCAGATACTCTTCCCCCGCCCCCGCCCCACCTCCCGCCATGTTTTCCCAGCCCTTGGCTGGTGAAGTCCTCGCAGAATCGGTTTAAAG